CTTCGTACACATCTCCACATTCAACCCTCCTTAGAATGCCACCAGCATACTAGAGAAGTTGCTGCACACTGCTGGAGATCTAGGTGATATGTCTGATGTTTCCCCTTCACTCCAGACCTTGTTAGAGCCTCCCTTGGAGACAATGGGTCTTGGTCAATCTATGAGTGACATCAGTTTTGGTCTGGACATTGTGCCTGTATGTGACAATCCATGTGCCTTGAGTGCTGTTGGCACTCTGTGGTGGTGCTGGAGGCATCTTCCATATTGAACTTACATGATAATGACACAGCAAGAAAAAATCTAAATGAGAAATTCTGGACACAAGTGAGGCTTTGTTTATAAGTTAATCATCTCTTTAGTCCCATCCAGGTGAGGATTAAAGATGACTCTGGTCATGATCCACTTCTGTTCTCTGAAGAAACTTGGGTACCTTTTCTTTCTAAAGTATAGAAAGTGCCACAAAGACCTAAGAGGTGGTTGATGTGGCCACATAGTTATCCTGTCCAAAGTAGATTAGCAGAAACATCTTTTCAGCCTTATCCCAACTCAAATCTAAGCTGGCATGTCCCAAATCAGGGATACCTCATTACTTTGAGGTCAGAGCTCTCCACAGAATTTCCCAATTAAAACAAAGAAAGCTGCCAGCCCTCTCACCAAGGAAAGTCCTTGCCAGACTTTTCTGGTTAAACAGTTCCTATAGCCCTCTGGCTAGATGCTCCAACCTGCATTTCTCTAGCTACATGGGTAAGAGCCAGGTCCTCATGTGAGATGGAGGCTCAAAATTTGCCCTTCTTGGAATGGAGGCATCACACTCCCAGACTTCAAACTATACTACAAAGCCATAATCATCAAAACTGCATGGTATTGGAACCAGAACAGACACACAGACCAATGGAATTGAATAGAAAATCCAGAAATAAACCCACAGATTTATGGTCAACTAATCTTTGACAAAGGAGCAAAGACTATGCATTGGAGCAAAGAAAGTTTGTTCAATAAATGGTGCTGGGAATACTGGGTCGCTACATGCAAAAGAATGAAGCTTGACCACTACCTCACACCATACACAAAAATCAACTCAAAATGGGATTAAAGAACTAGACATAAGACCCGAAACCATAAAATACATAGAAGGAAATATAGGCGAAACACTACGTGATATGCACATCAAAGACATCTTTACAGACACATCACCCAAAGCAGTGATAGTGAAGGCAAAGATAAACAGCTGGGACTACATCAAATTAAAGAGCTTCTGCACAGCAAAAGAGACAATAACAAAAACAAAGAGAAACCCCACCAACTGGGAGAACATTTTTGCACACAACACTATTGATAAAGGACTGATCACAAAAATTTACAAAGAGCTGATGAAACACAACAAAAACAATGTAAATAATCCAGTCAAAAAATGGGCAGAAGAGCTAAAAATAAACTTCTCTGAAGAGGAAATGCAAATGGCCAACAGGCATATGAAAAAATGTTCAACATCACTTGTAATCAGGGAAATGCAAATCAAAACTACCATGAGATACCATCTTACACCAGTGAGAATGGCACATATTAAAAAAACTAGCCACAACAAATGTTGGCGAGGATGTGGAGAAAAAGGAACTCTTCTGCACTGTTGGTGGGAGTGCAAACTGGTCCAACCACTATGGAGAGCTATGTGGAGATTTCTGGACCTACTAAACATAGAGCTTCCATATGATCCAGCAATTCCACTCCTAGGTATTTACCCAAAGGACACAGAAACATCAATTCCAAAGAGCACCTGCACCCCTATGTTTATAGCAGCACTGTTTACAATAGCTAAGCTTTGGAAACAGCCCAAATGCCCAAAAATAGATGACTGGATCAAGAAGATGTGGTACATATACACCATGGAATATTACTCAGCATTCAAAAAAGATAAACACATGCAATTTGCAGCAACATGGATGGCGCTGGAAGGGATCATGCTCTGCAAAATAAGCCAGAAAGAAAAAGAAAAATACCGGATGGTCTCACTCATAGCAGGAATCTAGAAAACTTAAATAAGGGACCAGGAAAAAGAATAACTATAAGAAAGAAAATATCAAAATCAACAAACAACTATGAATAAGAGACACTCTTTGGGGGTGGGGTGTGGGGAGGGGAGGGATTGGGGTCAAAATAAGGGGATTGCAATTGTATGGGGAATATAAAAATAAAATTTATTTTAAAAAATTGCCCTTCTTATTAGAAATGACTCCAGGTCTAACCACTTTTGCAATATTGTGCAATTCTTGCTTTCCAGCTTCCACCAGCCCAGTGATAAGTGCACGGGGTGTGGCAGTCTTCCTGGTCTTTGGCTCTAAATCACAACCCAATCATGCTCCTGGGTCATTATGCCTTCCAGGCCCTTCCATTTCCTTCTGGATGTTGAATGACCCAAGTAGTTTCCTCCATGACTTTTGCTGCTCTCTTTGTTGTGACAACCACTATACCTCAGAAAAATGCCCAAAGCAAGTCACCAGAAATCCCATTTCTATTTTTTTAAGATTTATTTTATTTTATTTTATTTTTTTAAGATTTATTTATTTATTTATACAAGCACACTAGGTACAGTCAGAAGCACGGGAGGGTGAGAGAATTTACCAGAGCCAGAGCAGGGAGCAGAGCAGGTAGAAGGACCGAAGTACACTGCTGAGGGTAGCAGTGGGCAGCAGGAGAGGTCTGTGCGCCTTGTGGGACCCTCCTCCAGTGGCTGGGGAGCAGCCGGGGATCGAACCGGTGCTGCAGAGGCCGTGGGCAGCTTCGCAACCCAACGCTCAACCACTGCACCACTGGGGATGCTCCCCATTTCTATTTTAATGATGTTAAAATGAAACTGTTCTATCTATAGCCGGGAACAGTCATGGATATGATAGATATTAGATAATAAAAAGAGCACAACACAGATCCACTTGTGTGAAGAATTCTCAAAGGAAATAATTAAGAATCAGCTCAAGATCCTTGGCCAGAACTAGATGTGTAGAGTAGTCAGCATGTGGGGATAAGAATGAACTTCTCTAAAGAACTTTGGAGAAACTGCTTTGCTGTTGCTGTTGTTGCTCTTGGTTTGGGAAAGTCATGGATCATGTTCCTGACATCCTGAGAGGGTAAGTATTGGTTTTCCTGCTTCCTTCACCTCAAACCTTGTGAGGGGGTTTCCAGGGAATTGCTCAGAAAGCTTGACATACCCTCCTTGCTGTTGGGAGACTCAAAGACATGAGAAAGCTAAAGCTACTGAAGAAGTAGGAAGATGTCTGTATTAAGGTCACCTTGGACCCCTAGCATTTGTGGGGACACAGATGCATGAGTGTTTCTTTTGAATGAGGGGTTGGTCATATAGAAGAAAGAGCTAACATGTGGTCATCTTGGATTTTGTCCCTGAGAGCCATCCCAAGGGGCAGAGAGTCGCAAAAGCAAGGGTCTTGACACAAACACTAGATTGTAAGAGCCACAGAAAAAGCTGTAAAGTATCACCAAAAATAAGCAATACCTCTAAGTCAGGTAGAGTTGAGAGGGTGTGTATGATAGCAACCTGAGCTAGAAGAAAGCCTGACGATGTGAGTTAGGGTTACAGCACAGACTGATTATTGTTGGAGGAACCCATGTTAAGATGACACAGACGTATTAGAATATAAATTCCAAAGAAGCCATCATCATGATCTCAATCAATGTGGGTTTTCAGCATCTGGCACAGAGCCTGGTACAGAGCACTTGCTCAGTAAATAATTCAGTGATGGGATGATGTCACTGTGGGTACACCGGCTTCCTTTCTCAAGCTTGTTTTAGGCTCCTTAGTAGAGGGGCTCTTAAACTAAAGCAGAGTCTGTTACTGAGCAGGGTGAGGGCAAGCAGCATGTCTGTGTGCTCTATTGGGGGTGTGTGCTGTCCTAGAGAGGCTGGTGTTGACGAGAACATAAGTACTTGAAGACACCATTAAGCAATTGGCTGGCAATTGGAAACCAGTTTCCTGCGTTGGTGAAACCTCTGTTTAACCAACTTGATGTTCAGCACGGTTTCTGCTGCCATAGAGATGAGATTGAAAGTTCTTAGGAAGCACCTGCAGCTTCACTTCAGTGTCTCAGTAGTCTCCCCAGATCCCACCTTCTCCTCCGCCCTGACCCTATTGATCCTTTATGGAGTTCATCCCTATTTTCCTATACTGGTGTCCGCCTCTCTTGCTCCTCGGTGAGTGGCCCATGAGTTTGATTGCCATCCGGAATCATTCCTGGATGCTGTCTCTTTGATTTCCTGGATGCTGGCTCCATTATTGGTTGGCAAAGTCTGCCTTATTTCCTAGATGCAGTGAAATTCCCTTTGGGATGCTTGCATTTGGAGAAAGTAATTCATATATTGTTCTAGGCACTATACTCCATTGTCTTCGTAATACTAGAAATAAGGACCACTAATAGTGCCTGGCAATTATTTTGTGGAGTTGTTATTAGAGTGGCAGTTACTGTGCTAAGAATTGTAACTGGTGGGGTCTGTTTTTGGAGGGCAATGTCACAGTAAAGTGTTTGAATTATATATGAGGTGGGAGTACACAGAAGGCTTTTAAAGTGGGGCTTTGTTGAGCAATATTCTGTTCAAAAAGTAATAATGAATTTTTTATTTTTGATTTGACTATGTCATTCTTTAATATTTTTAAAATACAATTTTATTGACTTATAATTTTTGGGAGTATAGCTTCATATCGCCTTATGACGTAAGTCTCACTTCACCTGCCAGCAAAGTTCTCGTGTCATCTTCCCCACTATTCCCTTTCCCCTCACTTCTCTCCCCCTCCCCTTCTCATAGCCACCATATTTTTCAGAGTCTCAGTATTTTTTGTTGTGGTTTGTTAGTTTGGTGGCTGTGGTTATTTATATTTCACATACGATAGAAATCATCTGGTAAATGTTTTCACTTTCTGACTTATTTTCATTAGCAGAATCACCTCAAGTTCCATCTCTGTTGTCTCGAAGATAAGATTTAATGTTTTTTTTTTTTTTTTTTTTTGAGTTTAAATGCATTTTATTTTTAGACAACCTACAAGACATGTTTTTCTTAAAAACAATGCCTCCACTCCAAATAAATCAAGGTCAAAATAAATGAAGAGCTCAAGATGACATCAGTCCCATTTGTCTGTCCTGGTGTTGTGTCAATGAAAAGCAGCAGCCAGTTATGATGACAGGTGATAGTTCCAAGTAATTGCCAAATTTGTTAGCATTTTTCCATTTCTAAACCATCCTTAAAGAAAATCATATATGGTGTCACACCATCCTCACGGTAGTCCAGCAGAGCAACCATACCATCTGGATTCATGTTTTCACCAATAAAGAACTGGTAGTTTTTAAAATTAGCGAGGATGTGCTTGATTTGTTCTGCAGCTCCTGTCATAAAAGGTTTTACTCTTTCTGGTCTCTGTTCTTCAAGTTTGCCTTTAATTGATTTCATATAATCTTTGATGTACTTCTTGTAGGCTTCTTTTGTGAAGCTGGTTTCCTGCAAGTGATGGTTCATGACAATATCAACACCAGTAATTACTGTGCTTTCGGTACCTTCGCCCTCGGGGCCGTCAGCGGAGGCATTTCCACCAATGAGCGAGTCATCAATGTTACCCTCTGTCCTACTGACCATCTTCCCCTCCACCTCCAGGCACAGCCCGTCCGCGATCTCCCGGATTTTGTAGATGTCGGAGAACACCTCATCATGGGTGATGAGGTCCCGGTAGATAATCATGATGGCGGCTCGAGGGAGACGACGGCGGCGCTAGCTTAGCAGGAGCCCGGAGCTCGGAGCGAGCCTGGTGCAGCCGGAGCGGCGCTCGGGGGGAGGGGGGAGCGGGCGGAAAAAAGCTAGATTTAATGTTTTTTTAAAAGATTTATTTATTTATACAAGAACTGGGGTACAGGCCCGATGCACAGGAGGGTGAGAGGATTCATCAGAGACAGAGTGGGGAGCAGAACAGGCAGACTGATGACATATACTGCTGAGGGGAGCAGCGGGTGAGACAGGAGAGGTCTGCCTTGCCATGTGGGACCCTTGCTGGCTGGCCGGGATAGAACCGGCGCTGCAGAGGCTGCGGACAGCTTCACAGTGCAGTGCTCAACTGCCTGCGCCACCAGGGGAGGCCCAAGATTTCATCTTTTAAGTAGCTGAATAATATTCCATTATATATGCCACAACTTCTCTATCCAATCATCTATTGATGGACATTTCTGTTGTTTTCATGTCTTGACTACTGTGAGTAAGGCTGCTATGAACATAGGGGTGCATCTATCTTTTCAAATTAGTGTCCTCATGTTCTTTGGATGAATACCAAGAGTGGTATTGCTGCATTTTATGATGTTTCTATTTTTAGTTTTTTAAGGCATCTCCATACTGTTTTTCATAGAGGTGAGTCATCTTATGTCTTCAAGACAGATGATCAAATTCATCTATCCTGCCACTGGTATTGTTGAGAAAAGTCATGTTTGCCTTTATGCAAAATGATCCCAGACTGATATATTTTTAGTGTTCACTCCTGCTTTTAGTTTTTCCCTGTCTCATTACTTGTTCTCAGGTTCTCAGCAATTGCTTACTTACTTCATTTTAGTTTTCTCGTTGGCATAATCTCAGACCTCTTTTTCATTGATTTGTAGCTGGAAAACCATCTAGAAGACTTTCTGTTGCAATTCTACATACATTTTGAATTGGTTAAAAAAAAAAGAATTATGAGTAGCTTCTAAGTGTAGCCACTGCCCCCTCCTTGAGTGCTCTGGCTTTGGGATGCATCTTTTTAGTTACTTAAAGTTTTCCCTCCCCATACTTTGTCACCTCACTTATTTATTTATTTTGGATAATGAAGCACCATTTTCCAAATAAATAGATAGAGGAGAAAATGTTTGGGACCATCAAGCACTAAACAAATGCAGGTGGCATAAAATATAGTATTTTTAATTAAGCATACATGTGGACAGGAAATTGAAAGAAGAAAGAGAGATGGACATAAGATTGAATGTCTGGTTGCCTTGAGTAGATCTCTTAGTAGTTGGTCATTTCATTTTCAAGTGTTCTTTTTTTTTTTCCCCAAGTGTTCTTGTTGATTGAGGACCTCAGTTCCACACCCGAGGTTTGGTGACGACATAGCCTTTCGTCTCATAATTCAGAGCCTTCCAGTTAAGAAAATTGGGGCTAAGGCAGGTGCTGCTGTGATACAAACTCTTGATGTTATCTGGGGACAGCAGAGAGTCCCACATGCACACATCCCCGATTTCTCCCACAAAGGACTGATTCTCATCAAACCCACCTCCATAGGAATCCTGCTCTTGGCCCAGAATGATCTTGGGGTGAGTTCCCAGAGAGTAACCCTGCTTCAACCCCTTTTTTACCAAAGGCTTCGAATTGATCCAAAATTCAGCAATGCCAGTGGAGGACTCCCAGATGACACAGAGGTGCACCGGGGCAGGGAACTCCTCCGTAACTTTGAAAGTGACTTTGGTTCCTCCAATGTGTAGACTATACAGTCCAATTTTTTCTTTAAAAACTAATAGTTCATTATCCTTGCCCCGGACGTTGTAGGAGAAGAGGCTGTAGCCATGGACGAGGTCACTAAAGGCTCGAAGACACAAGGTAAAGTTCTGTAGTGGTTTCTCCAGCTCCGCTTTCAGGCTCACATGGTCACTAGAAGATTCTCTAGGAAACACAAACACCTTTCTGTTGAGGTCTGTGGAACAGAAACAGCAACATAATGACCTTCATCATAAGTGCAGGGAAAAGGCACCCCAGAGTCAACCTCTTTTTCCATCCCTTGTTCCTGGCCCATGCCCTCACCTCCCTACCTGTCTGAGCAAGGACTCCAGAGAGAGTGGTGAGGACAGAGACCCACAGCAGTAGCTTGTCCATGTCTTGGCCTAGAAGCCTAGGTTGTGGGGACAGGCAATGTGGGGACTGTCCACTCAGCTTTGAGAGTCACACTCTTGGACCTCAGGCTGTTCTAGTTGTATCTGCACCAATGAATGAGGGTTGGGGGTGAAGAGCTCAACAGTGTGGAAGTGACTGTCCAGCCCAGTTTCCTGTGCAGCAATCAGAGGCAGGGGAGGGCCTCAGGCTACAAAATCAATGAGAGTTATTCATTAGCTACAGTGACAGGCAGAGCCCACACCTCAGCCCAGGGCTCCGGGAATTGGGAGGCTGGAGTGCTGCAGTGTTTTGATGAGAAGAGAGGCCACATTAACATGTGGGGGTGGGGAATGCTGTTTCATCCCTGCTCGCAGGAACCCTGAGCCATGGTGGGTCTCCCTGTACTTGGGCTGTGGGAGAAGGGCCTGTTCTTTCAGGCCCTTTTCATCGTTCTGAGAGTGGTCTCTGCAGGTCATCTGGGACGCTGCTTATGCTGAAGGCCCCGAAAAGCCCCTTCACCTTTGACTAATTAATACTGATAAATATGTCCAGGCCATGCTGAGGGAAAGGAGAATCAGCTTGTACTCTTTCTGTCTCTCTGAGGCTTTGTGTTTTCAGCCTCTTCTTTTGCACATCCTGGTGGCTCCCTACACTAGATGTCCCCATTTCTCTGTGTGACGTATTTCCTGGTGACTTATTGCCTGTTGTCTGCAGAGATGCCAGCTCACTCGTTACCTCTCTTCTTTGAGGCCAGCGAGGGAACATCTACATTTGTCTTTGGTGACAACTGATTAATGCATCAGACTCATGTTTATTTATTAATTCCCAAGCACTGCATTAGGTACTAGGGATGCAGTGGAGACTCACCTGACGATCCCTCTGACCTTCTTCTTCATTCCCTCTGCTCCTTTTTAAAATGTCACTTTATTAGTTACTCCTCAAACACGCTCTGTCTCTAAATATCAGATAGGAGCTCCCCTTTCTAGCCGTGTTACTCTCTGCATTCCATAATCTCCTCCTTCTTGCCCTATGTCCAGTGCCTGCTTATTCCCTCCTCTCTCAGCACTTGTAAACCTGTCAGCCTTTTTGAAGACACAATAACTGTCCCCAACAATTCCCTTTCTTTACATTATTCAAGTCTTCCTTCTTGTTTTCTGTTCCCAGCAACTCCAGTCTCTTTCAAAGCTGAATCCCAGCTGGTGTTCTCAAGGTGAGCCCTGTGATGCTGAGAGGCTCCTGGGGGCTTCCTGCCTGTGAACATTCAGGCAGGAGGTGATTCCTGTCTCGGTTGCTCTGGAAGATGAAGGGGAGGAAGGAAAGATCATGGCCTGTTGGCAGATGCAGCACCACCGGCTGCCTCAGGTGGTCTTCCTGGCTGTGCTGGTTGCAGGCAATGACGATTGTCTTCTGAGGGGATGGGAGGACATCACAGGGTCGGAGAGAGGGTGTGGCACAGGCCCAGATCTGGGAAAGGCAGCAGTGAGAGAATGGCTGAAGATGACCCAAGGGACCAAAGAATACTTGAGAGATGTCTCCAAGGCCTGGGGTGTTGAGGGTAGACAAAGTCATAGCAACATTGGAAAAGACTGGAAGCAGAGACTGAAAGAGAACAAGGGGAAGAATGAGATTTGGTGCCAATAAAGAATTATTTGCCATAAGGAAATTTAAGTGCATTTATTTATAATAGATGGAAAAGAGGCAATGGAGACATCGAGAGTGACTGATTACCCCCCTGATATGCAGCTGCATAGAATCAAAGGCAGGTTCTGAAGTAAAGGAAAAAAGGAGCAGAGACAAAATTATTAAAAAATATAAAACATGGAACCAAATTAGATTTTACTTCAAATTACAATTGTCTTTGATTTGGAAAAATGAGTTACTGGTGCATATAGACAGTTGAGAAGAAGTTCATTTGGAGGAGGTGGAAGATGGGTGATAAGTTTGGTTCCTAAAATGCTAAATTTGAAGTGATAGTGTGACCTACACAGAAAAGGCCAAGGGAGGATTTGAAATATGTGTGCGCCACTTGGATTAGAAATATGGTTTCAGAGGAATCTACACTCAAGTGGAATGAAACAAAAACACACGATCTCTTCCAGCGGTGGAGGGATGAGGGAGAAGTCCAGGGAAACCAGCCCCGATTGGGGGCCATTTGTGTTTGCGGGGTTGGAGGTAAAAGAAGAGCCAGGGAGAGAGACAAAATGAGTGTTTGGCAGAGAGAAAGCCAGAGTGCGGTGTCATGGAAACTAAGTTAGCGTTGGTTTCCAGGAGGCAGTGTCCAGCAGCATCAAATGTGTGAGAGCGATCTAAGTGGAAAGAATGCTGGATTTAGCAATAAAAACTTCACTGGTGACCTTTGAAAGAGCAATTTCCTTAAAGTGAGCATGGCAGAAGGCAGGTTTCAGGGGATGATGGAGGGAGAAAACAGAAGGGAGTCTGTTTCCTAAGGTTCAGTAATTCTGACAAGATAAAGAGGGAAGAAGCACAAGTCTCTTTAAGGGACCCAGGAGCCAATATGTATTTCCCATACAGATTATAGATGGTCTCCTGTCGACAAGCTATTGTCTTTACTTCCTGCTCCATAACATTTCACTCATTGACAGAGAAAAATCAGTGTCCACCTGAGATTACGACTGACCTTTCTACAAAAGTAGCTATTTCAGACTCTAAATGCCAGGCTGCTGGCAACTCCTCCTTTCCCTCCCAAACCTCCCAGTTACAAAATGGCCCAGAGCTTTCCCGGTCCTTCTGATAGCAAAGTCTTTTTCTCTGGCCTCAGTTCTCTGTTCCCACTTTCAGGGCTAATTTATTAAAGAAAATTCCTGTCAAGTTTTTCTTCTACTTTTGGGTGCCATCCTTGCTACATCAATGAAATCTCACTTCCGAATTCAGACTGCAGCTGAAACTCTTCTCTTGCGTGTTGCAGTATCCAGTTCTCAATCTTTATCCTCTGTATCCCTAAATCATTCCTCTTTGAACCACACATCCTTTTAGTAGCTATAAAATTTATCTTCATTGTTAATGAATATTTTATCCATTTATTAGAATAGAATTGTTTGTATAAAATTTACCTTCATTGGAACTCACCGACCACAGCCATCTCCATCCTATCCACAATGCCTTTGTGAGAACATCTGGAGGGAGAGACAAGAAAAGAAGAAGTACAATGGCAGGGACTCAGCCCAGTTCTGACTTGCGTGTGTGAAGAGAGAAGTTCTCTTTCCCGTGAATAGGAATGTGCTCCTCAGTCTGTATGACAGTGAAGTTCTCTAGAAGCAGGGCAGGCCTCTCACGTGTCAGCAGGTGCCATCTTGTTTCATTCTTCATCTTGTCTTTTCCTATACCATGTCTCTGCCCATGACCTCAAGTCAGAACAAGGGTTTTCCCGTGTTGAGCCATTGAGTGTATCTCTCAAACTAGAGAATATAGAGAAAGAGACTTGCCGAAGATGGCGGAGTTTACTTCTGGGTGGCTCCAGTTTTGGGGTGCTGTTGTTCATATTGAGGGTCCAGCTTGGATGCCATCATCATGGCCCCCCTATTACCTGGCTCTTTCCTAAGCATGCTGGCAAGTTTGGAGATGGGGTACCCTGGTCATAGTTGCACTGTGCTCTCTAGTCTTGTATCTCAGAACGAACCAGCCTCCTTATTCTTTGTTATTTAGACCTTTACCAACTGTTGTGTGCTCATCTGAAAATCCCTGAGGTGTACAGTCTGTGAACATGAGAGCTGTGCCCAGTCGGTATGAGGCCTTCATAGCATTTATACGGAAGTCATCCATGTTGCAATCGTACTTCTGTGACTCTGGGTGGCCCATTTCTTCTGTGATATCCTTCCTGCCACGAAGCACTCCACACTGACACGACTATTCATGAGATAAATGATTTGTTTTTTATTTCCCACACAGACATTCAGGGGTCTGTGGGTTTTATTTACATTTCCAATATCAACATCCTCCTCACGTCCGCCTTGTTTAAGAAATGCCTCATCTGGGGGCTCTGTCACCTGTGCATCCCCCTCACTGTGGTCTGTGTTTACCATGGTTATGTCTCCATTGCTGCCTCTATTCCAAGCTGATTAGCACAGTAGAAAATAGATCACCTCTCAGGGAACTGTTGGACCCTGTTGTTTACAGTCTGAGGTGCATGGAGGCCAAGGATGCTGTGTTCTCAGCTGTGGGCAGAAACATTTCTTAACAGATTGACTCATTTCATCAGGAGACCTTAGTCCTGGCCAGTGTTTTTCCTGCTTACGAACATTTCACATCTCTCAAGTAGACCAGATAGAAAATTTCGCTGTGAACTGGTTTAGCACGTATCTTGCCCTCCTTGTGTGCTCGAGAAGGAAGGCAGAAGTGGGGTTCTCTGGGCTGGTGCCCCTCCCTGCAGAGACGGTGACACTCTGGAGCTCTCGGTGACATGTTCTCACAAGGGAGCACTTTGATCGAAAAATCCTCTAGCTCCCACTCCACCTGACCATGTGGTGCTGACTTTTGTCTCTGAGTAGAACAGACCTGGTGATGATAACAGCAGTGACTTCAAAGAAGCCAAGTGACCACCTGGGACGTGCCCCAGTTATGTGATCCTGAATAGTGATTTCAGTGATATGACCCTGAATAGGCATTTCAGACTTTCCTTATCATTTGCAGACTGAAAAAGAGCTGCAGCAAACAGAAGCCCTTTCCCCTTGAATTCTCCACTGACCTCTTGAATATTGTGATTTAGGTGGAACACTCTTTACTTTTGCAGAAGGAAACAAACTCTTTTTAGCCTGCATTCTCAACGCTGAGGAAAGAAAGAGAGAGGGTGATCTTTTCAAGGAATTGTGCCTTTATCTATAATTCTTTTTAAACATTTATCTTTTTGTCACAAGCCTTGGGGAATTACTAATTCCATCGTGGCTACGTGGTCACCCTCTGTGGTGGTAGTGGCTCATTCTGGGCAAGTGTTTTTGCCATTCTGTGACCTGCACTTTTCAATAAAGTCCAACAAAGCCTATTTTCCC